AACTAGGATCACCAGCAACATAAGAATAAAAGGGCTCCCTTTTTGGCATTGGTTTAGGGTTTAGGGTTTAGGGGTTTTCTGAAGCACCTAAGTCGACAACAAACGAAAAAAGGGCCACTGGCAGACCAAGTATGCCTGAACCTCAACCGTCTGCCTGGAAGGCCAAATTCGGAGGATTTCAAGAAATCTCGAGATTCTTTAAGGCTTCGGGGCTCCTTTAGGGTTTAGGGTGTTTCTAGGGTAAAGGGTTTAGGGTTTAGGAGCGTTTAGGCTTCAGCAGATGTTTCAGAAAGGGTGGTCTTTTGGCTGGAGTGTGGGTCTCTTTGGGCCTTAACCCGCGGATGTCGGGAGCTACGGTTTAGTTGCGGGGATGCTTGCTGTGCAATGAGGCGAGTACGGCGATTTCCGGTACATGCGCCATATTCTTCCTTAAGAATTCTCTGGCGTAGTTTTCACATCGCCGGGCTCAACAGGTGGATGAAGGAAGACCCCTGAACCCTTAACCCTAAACCCTAAACCCTCGTAGCACAAGAATTCCTGAAACCCACCTGCCTTCATCCCACCTGGGCCCCTTGAGTGACGCCAGTGGGATCGCCCGACGCACCGCCCTACACCCTGCAAACCCAAACCCTGACTATAGTTACGGCGCAGGGCTGTTCCAAACCTAAACCCTAAACCCTAGACCCCTAAACCCCTAAACCCTAAACCCTAGACTCTAAACCCTAAACCCATGACCCCTGAACCCTAAACCCCTAAACCCTAGACCCCTAAACCCAAGGACCCCTGAAAAACCTCGGCGCAAACCTCCAAAGCAACCAAGCGCAGCTGCCCCCGATCCGGCGACTCTTTGCGTCTCAGCTGGGGTTGTCCTTTTCAGTCGATCACTAGGTCCCCCTGTAGCCCCTTGATCATCGGGGTACCCTAAACCCCAAACCCTAAACCCTAAACCCTAAACCCTGAACCCTAAACCCTAAACCCTAAACCTTAAACCCTAAACCCTAAACCCTGAAACCTAAACTGGGTATGATAGTGTATCCACCAAAAACATGGCATCAGGGTACGACTGGGGAACCCGCATAGGGGTCAGGGTCAGGGTTTAGGGTTTCGGGGCCCTGTAACACACG